CCCGAAACGTCAGCTTTCTTGTTCCTCTGATGCTGCTTGGCCTGCTGTGCTCATCCAGCTCTACACCTTGTTATCTTAAATGCATTGTAAGTAGTTCAGAGAAGGTTTACTGGACTAGGGAGTGGAGGGTTGTCTTATGATGAAAGTTGGGACAGGTTAAGCTTGTACCCACTGGAGTCGAGAAGAGTTAGAGGTAACTTGATTGCAAATATATGATTCTGAGGAGACTTAACAGTGGAGGGGATGCTTCCTCTTGTGGGGGAATCTAAAACTAGAGGGTTAGTGTTTAAAATTAATGTGTTACCCTCTTAAGACGGAGCTTAGGATATTTTTCTCACATCCAGTTGAGAGTCTTTGGAACCCTCTTCCTCAAAGAGGGTGGAAAAGCAGTGCCTTTGAATATTTTAAGGCAGGATTAGATAGATTGACTCTCAGCATGCAAAAGGGTAAAAGGTTATTGAGAGTAGGTGGGTATCTGACTGAATGGTGGAACAATTTCAAGAGTCTGAGTGGTCTGAACTGCCCACACGCTTATGATCTTAGGGCTGTATAACAAATAAGGCCATGGAAAGATTGAATTTCTTTGGCTAAGCTTTTTGTTATAAAGCTGCGAGTCAACTTTTGCACGAGTAGCATTTGGCAAAGGTTGAAAATCACTCTCTCCCATCACCTTGCTCTCAGGGAGTTCATAGAATCCCCACAGTGCGGAAGCAGGCCTTTTGGCCCATCAAGTCCATACTGACCCTCTGAACAGCAGCCCACCCAGACCCAACACCATCTCTGTACCTCTGCATTTCCCATGGCCAATCCACCCAACCTGCACATCCCTGGAGACTATGGGGCACTTCAGTATGGCCAATCCACCCTAACCTGCACATCTTTGGACTGTGGGAGGAAACCAGAGGACCCGGATGAAACCCATGCACACCTGGGGAGAACGTGCAAACTCCACACAGACAGTCACCTGAGGCTGGGATTGAACCTGAGTCCCTGGCGCTGTGAGGCAGCAGTGCTAACCCCTGAACCACCATGCCACCCTTTGTCATGTTATAGACTCTTCCTGACAATCCCACCTCCAGAAGTAGCACAAATAGAACCAATCACTGCTATGTGTATGATTTTTGGTATATAAGAAGCATGCATTAGAAGGCAGAGGGAAGGGTCATGTAGCTCAGTGGCAGAATTCCTAGCTCTGGGCCTGAAGCCTTGGCTTCAAGTCACAGCTGCCTTGGACATGAGTGCCAGAATAGATATTCTAAAAATCTAGTCAGCTGCCTGCTAACCTCCCAATTCCATATGTAATTTTCTGTCCCCTAACTCTTGAGTATTGCTTCTTTCTCAATCACCAATCTCAGATTCCAACTGGGTTCGAAATAATTGAAGAGGCATGAGGCAAGACTTGTAAAGGTAACCATAGGCAAGGGGTGAGGTTAAAAAGGCTGGACCTTCATGGTGACATCAGTTGGCACAGGAATTGAGCCCGTGCTGTTGGCATTAGTCTGCAATGCAAATCAGCTGCCCAGCCGACAGAGCTAACTAACTGCCAAGTGCTCTGGCACAGCTGCAACAGGCTGTCTTCCAGCAAACTTCTCTACGTTCACAAACCACTTTTCTTCAGCTCCCTGAGACACCAACAATAAACTGCAAACTAAACTCACTGAGGCCGAGTTTTATCAGAAATTGGCTAAGTGCCAATTTTGGCCAGTTTTATGGAGGGTTTCTTTCCACACACCCTGGCGAGCTTTCGCATGCCATCTTCCCAAACTTGGCTCATCGCTTTGGCACTACGCCCATTTGGTGCCCCACTCATCGCATCTTACCCCTTGCCACTGGTGGAAGTATTGGCCAATGCCAGGGCCTCTTGGGGTTTCTGGCACCATCTTTAAAGCCCAATGATGCACCCAGTCAAGTGCTGGCAGTCCACACATGCCCAGCATAGGTTCTGTCCCTGGCCCCTGTTATGTTCAGCTGCCCATGCCGTTTGCCCTGCGATGTTGGTTACTGGCGGCTGTCGAAACAGAATGCTGGAATCACCAGGCACAGAGGCAGCTTGGATGAGATCTGGGAAAAATTCTTTCACCCAGAGGGTGGTAGAAATATGGAAGGTGCTGCGTGTGAGGGTGGTGAAGGCAGGTACTCCTGTAGCTTTTAAGAATTGTCTGGATGAGCACTTAAAACGCAGGGCAAAGTAGGCTATGGACCAAATGCAGGGAGTAATGCAGTTTGTGTTTGTTAGTCAGCAGTGACATGGTGGGCCGAAAGGCCTGTTTCTTTGCTCTATGTCACTGGTGGGAGAATGGGAAGTTGTGTTTTGCATTGATGCAAGATGTCGTAAAGAGAAAGTTAATGTATGAAAATAGGCCTCTTAACACCCACCAGCCAGACTCCTGCCAATCAAAAGCCTGATTGGAAAATGGGACGCTGTTTTGATATCGCGAAATTCCTCACTGGTCATCTCACATGATTCCCCCAACTTTCTCACTCTTGCCCATGTTATTCAGTTATGATATGATATGATTCAGCCCACTATTACTTCAACTTCAGAGCAAACATATGAGATCCCGAAATTCAGCATTGAGCAGCATCGCTTACAAAAAGAAAGATCTCCTGCCCTTGATCTGCTATCAACACTCCTGCAGTCTACATGATCATAGAATCTCTGCACTGTGGAAGCAGGCCGTTGAGTCTTTATCGACCCTCTGAAGAGCATCCCACCCAGATCCACACCCCTACCATATCCTGTAAACCCTGTATTTCCCTGACTAAACCACGTAGCCCGTACATCCCTGTTCACTATGGTCAAAACACAACTTCCTATTCTTCCACCAGTGACAATTTCCAAATGTGAAAATTGGAATGATTACTTAGAGTCATAGAAACAGGTCCTTCAGCCCACCACATCACTGTCGACCAACAAACGCAATTTAGCACGGACAGTTCACATTTTTGGACTGTGGGAGGGAACCCACACAGACACGGGCAAAGCATGTAACCTCCCCAGAGACAGCCATCCAAGGCTGGGATCGAACCCAGGTTTGGGTCACCATGAAGTAGCAGCACTAACCACTGAGCTACCATGCTACCCTGGGTCAGATGTCTTCATCAGAACTGAAGAAGGGTTATTGGATTTGAAACGTTAAATCTTTTTCTCTCCTCACAAATGCTGCCAGGCTTGCTGAGTTTCTCCAGCTCTCTCTGGTTTTGCTTCAGATTTCCAGCATCTGCAGTTCGTTGATTCATTTTGCTTCTACATTTTTTTTAATGCAAAAACAAACCTCCAGACCTCCCTGCACCAAGACCATAAAAACAACTCTAAGAATTGAACTAAAATGATGTCTCCCCAACCCTAACCCTAATCCTAAATTGAATCCTAATTTTAATCCTAGATCTAATCATAATCCTAACACTAACCTATTCATGGCACCCTGAAAGCTTGGGTCTAATCCATAATCTATAATAAAAAGAACATGTACAAAGTCTGTTGGGTTAAAGAAAATAATTACTTTATTTAGGAAGAGTCTCACTATGTCTTCACCTTGCCAAGAGAAAGCAAGATCATATGACATTGCATGGCTTCCTGTGATGATGCATACTGTCTCACCATCCTGACTTGGAAATATATTGCTGCTCCTTCAGTGTCACTGGGTCAAAATTCTGGAATGCCCTCCCTAAGGACATTGTGGATCTGCCTACAGCACATGGACTGCAATGATTCAAAAAGGCAGCTCACCACCTTCTCAAAGGTACAGTCAATGAATGCTAGCCAAGCCAGTTTTGCCCATGTCCTATAAATGAATAAAAAACTGTTCCTTTTGATGGTGTTTATCTTCCATTCCAGTTTTAGTGAGTCCTGAATTCATTAAATTGTCCAACATTGGGATGTGTGGACCCTGCGAAGAGGGGCAGGCTGTATTTGCTGAAGTTTGTGAGTGCAGTGCTTACATTTTCCTTTCACATTCGAGACTGTTGGAGACTTTTGAAATTGTTGACCCTTTTGAGAGCGCTTCTTCTCCAGTTTAGGGCAGGCCATGAGCTAGAGCTTCCCATGTATCAAGGGGAATATTGCAGTTGCTTTTCAGGGAGGTTTTAACGCTGCCCTCAAAGCATTTCCGCTGCCTTCTTGTTAACCATTCGCTTGGACGAGGCTCAGAGTTGGGGGTTTGGTTTCGGAATCTTGTGTCAAGCATATGGGCAGTATGACTCAGTCTCCTCCAGCTCCACCGCCCTCTGAGATACCTGACCATCTTTCACTTCGTCTTCCTGATCATTCCCAATTTTTATTGCTCCACCTCTGGTGGCTGTGCCTTCAGACCCAAGCTCAGGAGTTTTGTCCTTCTCTGTCCCTCTCTCTCTTTCGCTTTCCTCCACCGACCACTGGTTGTTGTACCTAATATCTCCCAATGTGGGCTGGTGTCAAACTGTAAGATTTGTTTGCTTTAATTTAACAATAAGACAGTGATTAACTACAGTTACGCCTAATTTCAAAAGTCCAAATGTGCAGGTTGGGTATTTTGGCCATGCTATAGTGCCCAGGGATGCGCAGGTTGGGTGTTTTGGCCATGCTATAGTGCCCAGGGATGTGCAGGTTGGGTGGATTGGCCATGTTATAGTGCCCAGGGATGTGCAGGTTGGGTGGATTGGCCATGCTATAGTGCCCAGGGATGTGCAGTTTGGGTGTTGTGGCCATGCTATAGTGCCCAGGGATGTGCAGGTTGGGTGTTTTGGCCATGCTATAGTGCCGAGGGATGCGCAGGTTGGTTGGATTAGCCATGGGAAATGCAGGGTTACAGGGATAAATAATGCAGGGATAACTGTGGGAAGGGGGATGGATCTGGGTGGGGTGGTCTTTGGAGGATCAGTGAAGACTTGATGGGCCAAATGGCTTGCCTCCACACTGTAAGGATTCTATGGTTCTATGATGTTTAGACACATGACACACATGTCACAGACTTTGTTCAATTTTCTACAATAAAGCCTTAGCAAAGGGCAGTGCTTAACGATCACTTTCAGTCCACAACCTCTAACTGATCAGGCTTTTGTCCCTTGATTGAAGTCTATCTGCTATCTTCACTTGAACATCATGCATACTTCGTAATTTCCAAATTACCATTTTATACCCGGTTCCCAGCTTGGCTCTGTGCTGCATTGGTTAAAACTTCACTTCTGACCAACTGATTGATCAGCCATCCCTCAAACAGTTCTTCCATGATGGTACCTTGAGCCTGGAATATGTCACACAGGGCAGCTCCAGATTTGCGTTTGTCAGCTGTTTGTTCATCATTGAATCATAATAAAATCATACAGTACAGAAGGAACCCTTCAGTTCAACACGACTGTACTGGCAAGCATACACCACTACCTACAATAGTCCCACTTTCCCACACTAGACCTGTAGCCTTGAATATTATGATACTTCAAATGTTCAATCAAGTACAGCAAACTTTGTTTTAACCGGCACCTTATGAACCAGCACTCTCAATAAACAGGCAAAAATTATACACCTCAAATACTGTGAAGTTTAATGTATTATTCTGTTCAATTGTTATAGCTCTTAATTTATTCACATCAATGTAAATATACTTGTTCAATCAAATGGCTACATGTAATGACAACTGTTCATTCAATTTCAAGTCAATTTCTCCTCAAATACTGCAATCTATTGTGATGTTCGAGTCATCAGTTGCTGGTAAAGTGAGAAGGCTCTTTGCCAGTAAGTTTATTTAAGGCCAAGTTTCATTATTATTTAAGTGATTTATGCTGTAAATAAGGTATAACAGTGATGCATATACCCCCTGCATTATGTTTCTATTATTTTGTGTGAGTTTTTACAGTGATAATGTGGACCTGTTGATCAACTGGAATATCTGACCAATCGGTACACACTCGTGGTCCCATAGGTACTGAATAGTAAAAAGTTTGCAATTCTTTCTAAAAGTTGTGACATTGAGCACTGAACAAGAATAATGTGCATTTGTCCCATTGCACGGTTATTTAGCTTGTCATATTTACAGCCGTTACTGGTTAAAAGGCTAGCAGCCTCCCTGAGGTAACCCATATTCTAACAACTTTCAAAAAAAGGATCTATACATTGTCTGAACTAGCTCTTTTCACAAGCGACTATAGCTAACATTCAGATGAACTTGTGCATCACGCGTTGGTGGTTCTGCAGCAATTGGAACACAATTTTAACTGATAAAGGTATGACAACTGAGTTCTGAAGTTTCATAGCAAAATAAGCTCAATCCTACAATATGTTGAGGGTGGCATGATAGCTCACAGCACCGGAGACCTGGGTTCGATTCCAGCCTCGGGCAACTGTCTGTGTGGACTTTGCACATTCTTCCCGTGTCTGCATGCGTTTCCTCTCACATTCCGAAAATGTGCAAGTTAGGTGCATTAGCCATGCTAAATTGTCCTTAGTATCCAGAATGTGCAAGCTAGATGGATTAGCTAATGTAAAGATGGGATACCATGGGTGCGGGTGGGATGCTGTTCAGAGGGTCGGTGTGGACTCAATGGGCTGAATGGCCTCTTTCCGCACTGTAGGGATTCTGTGTTGCTTCTTGGAATGTTTTAATATGTTAAAGGGGCTCCAAAAAGAAAAATCGCTGCTGTGCTAAATAATATTAGATGGTGCTTAGAACAGCACAAGACAAAGTCCTACTTGATGCTGTACTTAGGGGTCAGCTCAATCAGATTTGGTGCATGTTGTTTATCACAGTATACTGCATGTCCTCTGCATTTGGCTAGGACACAATTTTAAAACCACTGGTGTAAACAGGTCTTTGACAGGCACTTGTTTGGACCAAA